TACCTTTTGGGTCCTTCCTATCACTCCAGCCGGGCACCACAGACTGGAGAGGAGCTCAGCCACGCTACAGGGAAGGGGAGGGGAGGGGGATGAGTAACAGAAGGAGGGAGGGAGGAGTAACAGTAAGCTATGAATGGAGACCCTATGCTGGGGGTCTAGGTATAAATTCTTGTGCTTTGCTCAATAAAAACAGTTCATTTTCACCCATCACTAAGTCACTAGTGTTTGGGTGAGACAGCAATACATTCTGCAGGAGAGCTTAAGCAATCTGGAGCTTCTACAATAAGGGAAAGTAAAAATAGGCGGTAGTAACCCAGCTACACCCAGGTATACCTCCACAGAGACAGTTTGTTACTTCCTCCAAAGAGACTGGAGCCATGCAGGAGGGGGAGGAGAATGCAGTGAGAAAGGGACCAGGCCAGTGAGGATAGAGCAGAGGCAGGGGAGGGCTGGCAGCCTTAGGCTTGGGGGGCAAAACCAGTCAAGTGGCCCATTGCACCACCAAATCAGTTCACCATCCATGCCCACCTTTTCCTGGTTTTATAACGGATATTGATGTTATGCTAATCAGTAGCTCTTTGCCATACCCGCTCCTTCACGGCTCTGACTTTCAATGTTTTCAGAGCGCAGGCTGAGAATCTCTGAGCCTGTGCTCTGACTCACTAACTGAGCGCCGGAACCACGAGGGAGAGGCTATAATCTGACTGCACCTACTGCTGGTGTGCACCAGTGGACCACCAGCGAATTGTTTAAACTGAATAGGCTGGTGTCCCCAACTTGTGAGCTGTGTTGTCCGCCGGGCGCCTCTGTTGTGATGGCACCCTGCGTGACCGTACAGCGTGCACACCCCAACGGCTGGCCCTGCTGACACACACTGATGTTACTACTTAGAAATCCCTCAATATTAATACAGACATCAGAGTAAACACCAATAAACTGTGGAAACAGAGCTGATCCCCTCAAATTTACAAAGAATTGCTTAGTGAATTTGTTGTAAGATTAAATCATGCCTCCTCCTCTCTCACTCCCATGCGCTGCTCTGTAGGCTGGGAGGAAGTAAAGAGTAATCACACTCTCCCAGCAAAGCGGCACCTGTGGCTGCATGGGGAACAGCTGAATTTGCCGCCCCCCACGAGACATCACAATGCCCCACCCATATGAACGGCAGTGCTGCACACAGTGTGTGTTTACATTAAAAAGCCTGCAGGGACCGGCTATAGACACCAGAACCACTTCATTAAGCTGAAGTGGTTCTGGGGACTAAAGTGTCCCTTTAATGTGAGGTAAATTATAGATTAGTGTCACAAATAATATACTAGATTGCCTACTTACAACCAGATGAGCATGATGACAGGCTGCAGTTTGGCTCCACTGGTCTGGTGTAGAACGGGATCTATGGAGGCTGTTTGCAACTGTGGTCACAAAATTCAATGACCTTGGATAATTGGAAGCAGCTCAATTTTTTGGGGGCCCTTTACAAAGCTCAAGGTCTGGGCCCCAGGGCCTGACGGTGAGTATGCCCACTCATAAGTCCACTTATATGTTTCACCCACCCATGAGTTTGCTCACAGGGAGTGGAGTGTGTATAGGATGTGTTATTGTAGAGGATCTAATATGTGTGCTTAGGTATGTAGTGTATAGGGATACCAGTTTGTGTAGGTGATGCAGTGTGTTTGTGTGTAGTGGAAGCAGTGTGTATTTGTG